ACGTTTTGTCTCCAGGAATTTATCAAGCCATTACAAAAATACAGGACACAAGGGTATATAAAGGCTCAGAGGAGGTGCAAAACTGGAGGGAACATTTCGAAAGTTCATAGTGGTGTAGTAGTGTATATAGTGGTGTGACAAAAGTAAAAAAATATATAGAGCAATTAATTTGTACATGAGTAAAAGGTAAAAAGATTTAAAAGGGGTAACTAAAAAATAGGTTGGACAAATATAGACTGGAAAGATGCAGCTTGTTTCAGTGTTCACTCTCTGTAATGTGCTTTGTGTAGTATAACAGGAGAGACTATGTGATGGCAGGGTTTACTGTTTTCAGGAGGATTCTTGCTAAGACTTCGGAGATGGTGAAGCTGCCGTTGTTTTGTTAATTGTATTCGAAACAGCGATCAGTGCTGATTCGAGGCACTTGCGTCTGCGGAAATTAGTTTCTTTGATCACTAATTGGGCGTCTCTGAATTTCATGAGATAATTGGTGGAATTCCGGTGTTGTACACAGGCGTTGTTCAAGTTACCGTTCCTACATGCGTAAATGTGTTCATTGAGGCAGGTGTCGAGGTTTCTTACTGTTTCACCTACGTAAATCTTGTCACAGCCTCCACAGGGTATAGTGTAAACTCCTGCATTGACTGGTTCGTGGTGCTTGGATTTTGTCCTGGTTAGATCCTTTATTGAAGTGCTAGAAGCGATGGCGACTCTGGTGTTAGCTTGTGAAAGTACTTTTGAGACGTTCAGTGCAACCTGGCTGTTGGGAAGAATTATAACTTTGTTGGGAGTGGTGTTGATGCGTGGAGAATTAATGATCTGAAGAGCTCTTTTCTTGCAGTCTTTGATGAAAAAAGAAGGAAAATGCAGGAGTTTACACTATACCCTGTGGAGGCTGTGACAAGATTTAAGTAGGTGAAACAGCAAGAAACCTCGACACCCGCCTCAATGAACACATTTACGCATGTAGGAACGATAACTTGAACAACGCCTGTGTACAACACCGGAATTCCACCAATCATCTCATGAAATTCAGAGACGCCCAATTAGTGATCAAAGAAACTAATTTCCGCAGACGCAAGTGCCTCGAATCAGCACTGATCGCTGTTTCGAATACAATTAAACAAAACAACGGCAGCTTCACCATCTCCGAAGTCTTAGCAAGAATCCTCCTGAAAACAGTAAACCCTGCCATCACATAGTCTCTCCTGTTATACTACACAAAGCACATTACAGAGAGTGAACACTGAAACAAGCTGCATCTTTCCAGTCTATATTTGTCCAACCTATTTTTATGTTACCCAAGTAATAGCTTTTGTATCCTTTTACTCATGTACGAATTAATTGCTCTATCATATTGTATTACTTTTGTCACTACCACTACTGCTACTACTACTACCACTAGTGAACATCGAAATGTTACCTCACTAGTATTGCACCTCACTCTGAGCCTTTATAAACCCTCTGTGTCCATGTATTGTTTGTAATGGCTTGATAAAGCTCCTGGAGAGCGAAACGTTGCCACAATAAATGTCACATTAGTTGCACTTGTGTCCTTTTACTTTACTCGGGAGTTTGTTCCACTCATCCACAACTCTATTACCAAACCAGTGCTTTCCTATATCCTTCCTGAATCTGAATTTTTCCAACTTGAAAAAATTGCTGCGAGCCCTGTCTTGGCCGGAAATTTTTCAGCACGCTATTTACATCCCCTTTATTTATTCCTGTTTTCCATTTATACACCTCGATCATATCCCCCCTAATTCTACGCCTTTCGAGAGAGTGCAGATTCAGAGAAGATTTCTGACACATGGGATCAACTTTGTCATCCTCCTCTGTACGTTTTCCAGTGCATTTATATCAATTATGTAATACGGTGACCAGAACTGTGCAGGATAATCTAAATGAGGCCTAACCAAGGATATATCGAGTTGAAGAACAACCTGAGGACTTCTATTATTCATACTTTTAGATATGAAGCCAAGGATTCTGTTAGATTTACTGCGAACACTAATGAACTGTTGTCTTGGTTTTAGACTAATGCTAACCAGAACTCCTAAATCCTTTTTGCAGTCAGTAGTATTAAGATCTACATTATTTAGTTTATATGTGGCATGGTTATTTTCCTGTCCAACATTTAGAACTTTGCATTTGTCTATATTAAACTGCATCTGCCACTTCTCCGACCATTGCATCAGTCTATTCAAATCATCCTGGAGTACTCTAGTGTCCTCATTAGAATGAATTGGACGACCTATTTTAGTAAGTATGGAGCCACCATACTTTCCAGCTACAGGTGGGCCATCAGTGATCACAGCTCCCAAACACTGAGGACAGGAAGTGGTCGACTCATCTGGGTCAAACTAGGATGAAGTTAATGTTATTTCTATTTTTATTTTCGACTATACGTGTCAATAAACATTAGACAGGCTATCCATCCTCAACCATCAATGTTGAATGACAGGAAATGTTTATGTATGCTGTTTTTTTTGAAGAGTCAGATACATGTGCAACATTTGGGTATCTTTATTGTAGACGTTTCGCCATCCAGTGGCTTTATCAATACACAATCAAGGATATAATGGGAAGACTGAAGAAATCTATCCAAAGATGAGGTAATCAGCCCCTCAGCCTTGGCGAAGAGTACCATAGTCTTAGAATATGGTACTCTTCACCAATTCCAAAGCTGAGGGACTGATTACCTCAACTTTTGTATATAGTTTCTACT